ACGTGAGTTTATACCTACCGGAAGTACCGTCCAAAATGGCTATGTTAAAACCTCGTTGTTTGGGCGAGTATTCCTTYCCATCAACTTTGAYGTAAGCTTTYCCACARCCTCCGCCTTCGAGTTTCACAGGATCTTCRCAGCCTTCRCTRCGAATGTTGACGTCTAGTGCTGATACGATGATCGTCAGTTTCATAGATAGGTACAGAAGTATATCTTGCTATATACAAGTGTATATAGCGAACATATACGACAAGACCGCACGTGGACACGAAGATACATAGGAATCATTTTACTAACAATTTGACAACGATTATATTATAATTCATGACGAGAATCAACGTTAAATCCACTTACCTTTGACCGACTGTGGTGCTAAAGCTAAACAGGAAATTTTAAAGAGAAATTTTAAATAAATTGTCGTGTTTAATGTTTTAAAGCATTCATTCGAATTCACCACTACAAAAGGAGAATGAGTTCCAATTTTAAAGTATACTGGTTTTCTATTACTTTCCACCATGCTGGACGTCATATAGGAATAAGTTGTTATCATTTTGTTAGTTTTAAAACAACATTACAACACTTACAACATCCATAGATTTCAACTCTCAGGGAAATTCGTTTATTCCAGGTTTGTGGTCTGATACGCACATAACGAGCTACGAATACTTGAACTTGCTGCCGTACAACAGTGCTGTCGTCTTTATTCCCAGAGAGAGTCTATTAAAGAAGTTAGTGTCGAATTTATACTTCGCCTTACACACAGAGCGGCGTAAAAAAAAAACGTAAGAAAAAACGCAAGAAAAAACGTAAGAAAAAACGTAAGAAAAAACGTAAGAAAAAAACGTAAGAAAAAACGTAAGAAAAAACGTAAGAAAAACGTAAGAAAAAACGTAAGACTTTTAAGTGAGACTGTTTTCAGGTTATTCTCATTGTTGCGCGAAGCAAGGCTACCACATTGTTCGTTTCCGTGTTTACTTACATTTTGATAGTAATGCCAACTGCTTTTATCGCTGCTGTATTCAAGCTTGTAAGACGTCACCCATTCTGATGTCGACTCTACACCTTGAGTTGCAATTCCTGTGATCCTGAATGTACTGCCAAGATCGATCTGTGAAACAAGCTCTTCTAAATACGCCTTTTCCCGTTCAAAGCGAGCAACCGCTGCTTTAGTTGTCTCTCATACCAGAGACATACCAAAAATAAAAAAATAAAAAACACGAAAATATGTTATCATTACAACAGCTCCACAAACTTTGCATTTTCTCCGATTTGAGGGTAAGCCTGTATTCCCAGAAGTCTCAAACTCTAGGTCTTGTAGGAATACAGGCTTAGCCTCAAATTGGAGAAGATTTAAAATTCTAGGGCTATTGTAATGCCAACACTTTTCCGTGCTTTCTTTTGTTCTCTACGCAAGTGAGTCTGTTGTGTACTTCAACAGCGGTCGCTCGCATTGCACGGAAAAAAGGCTTATAACTTTAAATCTATTATTATCGCATTGACTTATCTATGGAAATACAGAACTCATGAAGTGCGGACTCCATCCTCGGAATCCCAGGGGCTTTTCTTCAACTTTTCCCCAGTGCCCCCACTCAAAATCTCCTGGACTTCCGAGGATGTTTCGATTCTAACCTGTAAGTACTGGTTATTATTGTTTACACTTGGACTCCATCCTCCGCGACTGTTAGACAAACCAACTACACCTGAAACACGAGGATTGTGGAGTCTCGCCTCCTTAGGACCAGATATACCATCCAGAGAAGATGTAGCAGTAATGGAGGAGTCTGGAATAGCTTTCGCTTCCATTCCAAGAGCATCGAGACATTCTATGAGATAAATATGGCTTGATTGGTTAATAAATCGATGAAAAGCTGCGGCTGTTTATTGGTTTATGAATGCGTCGCTTTCTTAATCTTTGTAACTGTTGCAGTTGTCGTCGTTGCTGTAATATTCGTCGTTATCGATCTCGCTACGTTGTCAATACCTGTTTGGTAGAAGTCAAAGCCTTTGGCAGGAATTAAATCACCAGCACCAGCGACAGCTTTGCTTAAGTAACATTTCTTTGTGGAGCGTTCATAGTCGAACGAACGACAAGGAATCGATTTCTCCGACTCACAAATTGCTGCACACTCCTCTGGAGTCTTGCTAGTGACCACTTTGTGATCTTGTGAAGGATATCGCGATTCGTAGGTAAACTGGTAGYCACGAAGTTTACTGTTGACTTCAGAAAGTTATTTTGAAAGGTGATTATTATGGAATAAACTTTAAGGGGGTACAGTCGTTAAATTGGGAAACGGAGACACTTATCTAAGGGTAACTTGTACATTTTAATTTTTTTGATGGCAAATAGACAAACAAAACTCTTAATAATATAGCAGAAACCTCACACACTGAAGAAAAGGCCCACTTAGTAACTGTACTTACAATCACAAACACTTGATCTGCTTGTCTTCACGAATACACCTTGAAGTCCTGCCAAAAAATCTCCCCAAGATTTAACATTTCCTTCCGAGGCCCGGCAATTACCGGCAAGATTAGCAACTTCATTGCTGCTCAATACGCGATTCCAGACATTCACTTGGCTTAGGTCACCAATAAAGGCTTCTTCAGGACTGAAGCCATCGCCCAGGTCATCTTGTTCCTGTCCCAGTACCATTACACCTCCTCCCTTGATGGTCGCTTTGACTTGAAATCCAACTGATGAACTGTTGACAATGGACGATAAAAGATGGGTGTAAACTTTAATAGTAAAATTTGGAAAGACTTGACACGGAAGACAGGTCAAGGGGAGGTGTAATCCCCCCTTCCCCCCACAATGAGAACGATAGCTTTTCGGTCGTCATATTGAAAGTTCTTCAACACCTCGATGCGACATCCCTTCTCTGAAAATGCCCAGGATCCATCCCTGCAATAGAGTTTACCTTTCAACAGTTTGTCCGTCGAGGTAAAACACCCATTGGCCATCTGAGTTTCTCCACGTGACGGTCACGTGATGCCAATATCCGTCATTGGCTGAAACACCAATGAAATGCTTTTCGTTGTTTATGTGCAGTGTGAACGCACCATAATCCTGMAGCACTAGCGCATTGTCAACAACTTTGCCATTCACTTTAGTAGAATAAGAGAWTGGTGTCCCAGGGTTTTCGGAGTCCGTGGTTCGAAGCCAGAAAGCAACTGTAAACGCTTGAAGATCCGGGATATTTGTAACTGATGAAGACGAGGTTGCTAAGCGCGAYGGGAAGGTGACGTCATAGTCTGTWGATACTTCTAAAAATGAAGAGAGCGACCAGAAATACATATCAATTCATATTAAAATCAATAGATAATAAGGGACTTACTTGTTTGACAWGTTTTTCCAGCATAGTTTGGTCGACATATGCATTCATACCCATCTGTTTTCTCCATACAAGCGCCATTTTGGCAAGGATTGGGATAGCAATTCACTACTCTCCTCTGACATCGCGAGCCCGCATAACCCTTTTTACAGGAACAGCGGTACGTATTRACTTCGTTTACGCATGAGCCGCCATTCAGACAAGGACTGCTTGAGCAATGATCGGATTGTAACTCACACTGCGCTCCAGTGAAACCAGCTCTACAAGAACACTTGAATGAATCTCCAAGACTTTGACAAAGACCACCATTTAGACAGGGTGTTGATGCGCAGAAGTCAATTTTCACTTCACAATAATGTCCTTCATATCCTTTAGGGCATTCACAAAGGACGTTTGGGGCTTGAGGGATGCATTTAGCTCCGTTCTGACATGGATTTGGACTGCATAAACTTAAAGAGACGTCGCAATTTTTCCCCGTGTACCCACGTGAGCAAACGCAGTCATAACCATTCACCTTTGTAATAACAAAACTGTTTTAGTTAGCAAATTTGCACTATACGTCAAAACAAATCCATATTACATGGATTTTTTAGGTTTTCAGGCCGTTCTTCCTAAATTTTCAACCTCAGGCGATGGTAATACGTGGTTCCACCCTCACCTTATTCACGCAAGTTGCTCCTTGATAACAAGGATCAGAGAGACACTCGTCTTGTTCAACTTGACATTGTTTCCCAACGAATCCAGCCACACATTCGCATGTAAAACCATCTTTTTGGTCAATGCAACGTCCTCCATTATTGCATGGATTCGAAGCGCAGTCATCGATGTCTATTAGACACATAAAAGAGTGTTGATTTGGTTTATAAAAAACTCTATATTTTGAATGCATTTTGAAGTGCTGCATTTACATACTCTAGCAAAACCAGCACATTTCAGAGTCTAATTTTGTCTAAAGTAGGCGTTGACAACCCTATTATTCTGATGAATGGGCAGAAAATCTACTTACCAACACACATGCTTTGCGAATCTGATCCAGGTCCGTAAGTCGACAAAGTACCCTGACAATCTTTACAAGATATAGATCCCATGCCATCTTGGTAGGTTCCTTTTGCGCATGGCTTGCATGGTTCTACACCGCTGGACGAATATGTACCGGGAGCACATTTCACTTGTCAAAGCAAATATCATTAGTAATATGAATAGAATAAATAAACAGGGCTATTTCGTTGAATCCAACCAAGTGAACAGAATAAGAATATTAAATAACAGTCAATGCTTGCAGGGAAGAAATCGCCAAATTACATATCTGAAACTCGAGAGTGATATTTGTGCATTTGCTCAGCATGATATCAAATTGCTTAACTTGTTTTCCCTCCAATAGCCTTTTGTTTGTTTTTATTACATCTGAAACTCGCGAATGACATTTTGTGCATTTGTTGACCATGTGTCAAATTGCTTAACTTGTTTTCACTCCAATAGCCTTTTGTTCTTTTATTTGAGTTGTTTATTTGTATCAATCATGCTTACTTCCACAGTCTTCTCTGGCTGTTGCCCCAGCGATGAGAGTTGTTGTTCCATGAGGGCAGGCTGWACATTGTTTGTTCATGTAGCCCGAGGCGTACGTACCGCGAGGACAAGGAAAGCACCGTGCTAARCCATTGGGCGAGAAATATCCAGGTTTGCATTTCTCTAGAGAAGTAAACAGAATTCAAATTACAGTTGAGTGAAAACAGACATTGTTGATCAATGTAAAGATATGAATATATGAGGACCGCATGGCACTATGATAGAACAGATATAGAAATGAAAGCGCGAGGTCGGAAATTAATTTTTCCGAATTTATTCCTAATTGTTGATCAATAACTTTATATAGTTATTTCCCCTTATATTCCCACATCTTGCAAGCAAACAGAATGACTATTGCAACCAGATTTGAACTCAGTCTTTTAGAACTGGTTTACGCTTCCCATGATGCATTGCGCGCCTTARAAACAGCGAGAGAAGCGATTGGGTACTCGTCAGAAGGAACTCAGAACATAACAAACATATGAATGATATTCAAGAAATATGACATATGCACGCTCAAAGACAGACAGACAAAAAAAGACAAGGAGGATAATAGACTAACCTCGGCATGCTGTAAAGTTTTTAGCTTCTTTACCAACAGTCCAGGTTCCTTCAGGACAATTGTGGCATTCAAATCGCCCTTCTTTGTTTTGAAATGTTCCTGGTTTACAGTTGACGCATTTTTCGTGTAAGGAATCATAAAAGGTTCCCGCTGGACATCGAACTGAAAAGGCAAAACT